CTCGGAGGTGCTCGGAGGTGAAGCGGTCTCCATCAGGCCTAATCATTCCTACCGCAGCAGATATAGTGTCTCATAAAGGGATGAAACTACATCAATTAGAAAGCGGGAGACGGGAGCGAGCGCTTTAAATGTTAAGTAGCGTATTAAAACACAGTTAAACGCTTCATAGACAGTTATCGCACAGCCCAATATAATCCCCGCACTGGAAAAATCATGTGTCAATTAAAACGAGTGTGGAATGGCAGTTAGCGGCGAGGTGAGGTGAGGCGAGGGCGCGAGGACGGCTCTGCTCGCACACGGGGAAAATGTCTTCAAAAGGTTAAGTCACGGATTATAAATTAAACACAAAATTTTAAGGGGTAAAACAAATCCAGTGAGCCTTGTGAGTTGAGTTGCCACGACTTAATGGCTAAAACCAAATTAGGAAAAATAAAGTACCAGGACAATTATGATATGAAAAAAAAAAAACTTGATACCCGACTGGGATCCAAAAACACGCACTTCTCCAATACTTTACAAAAATGTGAGTCTGGTCATTGGAGAATCTCCCTGAGTTGAGATGATTGACAGGTGAATCAGCCAATCAGGGACAAAAATATGACAGGAGATTAAAAACACTAGACTTTTTTCACAACAACCAGAAGTGCCACGCTGTAGATTTGCGAAACTTCGGGATAATGGTTTTCTGTGGCAAAATGTCTGTGGAAATGGCTCACCTATTTTCCACCAGCTTCAAAAATCTACTTACCCCATCACCAAATCTTCAACCAACAAGATCGACAGAGGATAAACATTTTTCCATGAAGAATTTATCCACAACTATCAAGGTAAGAAAGATGAAAACTTAAAGGTTGTATAGAGGATTTTTTAAGGGAAAAGAAATACAGCAACAGTCCTTTTTCAAATGTTGTGCATGCGTGACACCACCTTCCTCCTCCACGTAATCCCCGCGCACCGCGAGTCAGTTACACTAGAAATGTAGGGAATTTGATTGACAACCTGACAGCCAATAGATAAAGAGGGAGCCTCGCTGTCTATTGGCTGATGTTTATCTGGCCTCACTACGTCCACAGTTGAAGGATTTTCATTCTTTTTTTTTTTTGTCGTCATAATTACAAGGCTGCTGCGTCTCTGTAATGGTATTTTAAACTTTCACTGACAATTTGAAACTAAAAACAAATCTTCCATACAACCTTTAAAGGAGAACAACGATGACGACACATTAGTGAACTACTGAGAAAAACTAATGTTATGGTCGTGAATAAAACTAAAGTAATTTGTTCACTTTGACTGATTCTACGATTAAAATAAAAAATCTATTTCATGAGGTAGATATTTGCATAGATCGAGAGATTTGTCCAGTTCGAATGCGAGACATCTCTAGGATACCATGTTACTTTTGTTCAGTAGTTCACTAATGCGTCGTTGTTGTACGCCTTTAAGCTTTACTTACCTTGATAGTGATTTAATAGTATTAGTTAAAGCAAAAAGGCAAATTATTGTCCCAAAATAAAAACATAAAGCACTAATATCACTAGCATAAGTAATTTTGTTGTGCGTATGGAGCCTTCGGCAAACAAGTGACGGAAATCTGTGTATCATTTGTTCGTTTTTCAAAATGAAACCAAAAGTAAGAAAATGAAAAAACAACTATTTTCTTCATTATTTGTCTCCAAAACCAAAATGAAAAAAAAAAAAACAGATAATGATTTGTTTTTTCAGTTTTCCATTTTGTGTTTAAATGAAGAATGGAAAGAACGGATAAAGGCCGTTTCCCGTTTTCGTGACTTAAACTGTGATGCCGGACTGAACCAGGACTGAACCAGGACTAAACAGGACTAAACAGGACTAAACCAGGACTGAACCAGGACTGAACCAGGACTAAAACAGGACTAAACCAGGACTGAACCAGGTCTAAATCAGGACTGAACCAGGTTTGAACCAGGTCTAAACCAGGTCTAAACCAGGACAGAACCAGGACTAAACCAGGACTGAACCAGGTTTGAACCAGGTCCAAATCAGGACTGAACCAGGTCTAAACCAGGTCTAAACCAGGTCTAAACCAGGTCTAAACCAGGACTAAACCAGGACTAAACCTAGACTAAACCAGGACTAAACCAGGACTAAACCAGGTCTAAACCAGGTCTAAACCAAGACTAAACCAGGACTAAACCAGGACTAAACCAGAACTAAACCTAGACTAAACCTGGACTAAACCAGGTCTAAACCAGGTCTAAACCAGGACTAAACCAGGACTAAACCAGGACTAAACCAGAACTAAACCTAGACTAAACCTGGACTAAACCAGGACTAAACCAGGTCTAAACCAGGTCTAAACCAAGACTAAACCAGGACTAAACCAGGTCTAAACCAACCAGGACTAAACCAGGACTAAACCAGGACTAAACCAGGACTAAACCAGGTCTAAACCAAGTCTAAACCAGGTCTAAACCAGGACTAAACCAGGACTAAACCAGGTCTAATCCGGGTCTAATCCGGGTCTAAACCGGGTCTAAACCAGGACTAAACCAGGACTAAACCAGGTCTAAACCAGGACTAAACCAGGTCTAAACCAATTCTAAACCAAGTCTAAACCAGGACTAAACCTGGACTAAACCTGGAGTAAACCAGGTCTAAACCAGGTCTAAACCAGGACTAAACCAGGTCTAAACCAAGTCTAAACCAGGACAAAACCTGGACTAAACCTAGACAACACCAGGTCTAAACCAGGACTAAACCAGGACTAAACCAGGACTAAACCAGTAAACCAGGTCTAAACCAGTCTCAGTCCTGGTCTCAGTCCCGATCACCCGACAGTCTACACGGGCGCACCTCTGGGCCCGTCCCGACACCCAGTCCTGTTTTAGTCCTGTTTTTAGACCTGCTTTAGACCTGCTTTAGTCCTGGTTCAGTCCTATTTCAGTCCTGGCATCAGTCCTGGTTTAGTCCTGGTTCAGTCTGTATGTGGCCGCTTTTTCATTTCGGTTTTGGAGACAAACAATGAGGAAAATAGCCGTTTTTTCGTTTTCTCATTTTGAACGAATGATACACGGACTGACGAACCCTCGATCATAAAGTTCCATAGTGCTCCTTTAACCGTCAGCTACAAAAACACCTTCCTAACAGCTTAATTAGGATAAATATCGGGTTTAAAATTGAAACGGTTATTGCCCGAGTATCGTATTTCTCCATTAACCTCTGAAGGTGAGCAGGTGCCGAGTGCGATGAAAGAGGACTTGACCTGCCCTCACCTGTCGTCCCGTCGCTCAGGTCCACTCAGCCCCAGCCGCAATTCAGCCCGAGTCCCGCAGCCCGAAGGCACAACTGTTTTCATGTGTGCCCATAATTACTCCAATAATTGATAATGGAGCGGCGCATTTGACCATTTGACCAATTCTGATAATGGCAAACAGACAAGTCAAGCTTCTGAAGTGTTGTGGGAGTATTTTTGGCAACTATTTGTATTTCAGGGTAGATAATTTGACAAATAGTAATAATAATAACCATTTTTTCTCACATTTTTGGCTTGATTTTCTTTTTCGCTTATTAAAAACGAAGTAAAGGTCTATGTTACGATGTCGCTTCCTCATCACAAACAGACCTGAAGTTGCGTTTTGTTTCATTCACACAAGTTTAAACCCATAAAATTCTGCGTATTTAGGCTGAGTTCTTCCCTGAAACTGAAAATACTTTGTTCCACCTTGTGATGTGGTGATACCAGAAGTGCTCCACTGCGTTTTTAAACTCCGTAAATTTCTCTGATCTAACCAAAATCTTAGAACTTATATCAGGTTATTCATTGTGCTGCTTAATTCTAGTCTAGAGGTACCGTATTTTTCGGATTATAAGGCGCAATATAAAAAATGTTGAATTCTCTTGTCTATTTTTATAAATAAGTTGCACCGGATTATAAGGCGCATTAAGCGAAACAAATGGACGACACTTGAGACTGATCCTTTAGCCCAGGCGTCCACCAGGCAGGTCGTGGCGTAATTCGCCCGCCGTTGCCTCCCTGTCTTGGTGAATGTGGGTGGATAATTTAAGTTTGTTTTTTTTATTTCCTACGAGAACGACTCAAATATACATTGAGTAATAATGTGTTTAATGCAGCTTTGCGCACATTTGTTTACATTTTACAGAAACGAAACTTAAAACCACATGGCTCATTTGCATAAATTATAAGCACTAAAAAAAAAAAGAAACTGCTCGCTCCTTGTGCGCTGATCCGGTTCAGCTTCTGTCGGACTAAAGGACACGACTCCGCGAGGCTCCTGACTACAGTAGCTCCAACAATCCATCAAGCGGTGCAACTTCGTAGTTTACCAAAGTCGTCTAAAACATTTTGACAGATTTTTGAGTGCCGTGTACCACAGAAAATTGGTTTGACGTCAGTAAAGCTCAACCAGAATTAATACATAAGACACACTGGATCCGTGATCAATGCACTATGTCATGAACAGTGGTGGGTTAATATAATTTTTTCTTCTCATTCCTTTTCGAGAAATGTGCTTTTTTTGTTGTTTACAATGTATATGTAGTATGTATGATTATTGTTTCTCTCTTGGCACAACCTCGAAATAAAAACGAATCAATCAGTCAAATCAATCAGTCGATTTTTGAGAAAATACAAGGATTTGAAGCTCACCTTATAGTCTGAAAAATACACTAGTTTATTTTTAAGATAACTTGTCAAGTAATTTATTATTATCTTGCTGCATGGACAGATCATTTCACTTTTACTTTTAAGTCAATTTCTGATCAATTTAAGTGTTTATATCTTAAATTTTGGCCAAGCTTTTTGCAGTGTACACCTTCTTTTGGCTGTAGAAATCACCATTAAAAAGACTTGAGCTGATTATTGATTATTAGAAATGACTGGATGCTGAACTTTACACTGCAGACAACACGCAGCAGACTTATTTTTGCTCAAATACGTGAGAAAAAAACTGGTACAGGGCATTTAATACTTCGCAATATTTAAAAACCTTGTGTGTTTTTACCTCGTTGGCCATGTCCAGCAGCACAGGGTCAGAGGGACGCGCCTGAGATTCAGTCTGATACCTGAAACAAAAGAACAGATATATCAAAATCAAAATGTGATTTAAATGGTCGAAATTATTCAGATTCAGATTCAGACGACTTTATGAATTAGTTTGAGCAGTAAAAAACACAGACAAATAAACAAACATCCAACACATTTTGAATACAGAGGAGTTGTAAGTTTTAAGAAGCAAACGTTAAAAAGATATTTCACATTTTGTTGAATTTTAAAGGTGAATGGCAGTAGAAATAGGCAAGGCAAGGCAAGTTTATTTGTAGAGCACAGTTCGTACACAAAGTAATTCAAACTGCTTTACAGAATAAGAAATACATTAAAATCATAATAAAAACAAATCAAAACATAAATAATCATGAAGATTAAAATTAAAAAAGAGAGACATAAATTGGAGAGAAGAGTGCGGAATGAAAACCTTTCAGTTATTTGCACAGTTAAACAGAAATTGTTTTGAGTCTGGATTTAAACAGCGTCACAGAAGAGTCTGTCTCACATGTTCAGACTGTTCCAGGTTTTAGCTGCATGAACCTGAAACTCTGACTCCCCTTGTTTAGTCGTGACTCTGGGCACCAGCAGGAGGTTGGTCCCTGAGCTCCTCAGAGTGTGAGATGTTCATATGACACTAACATGTCACAGATGGACTTTGGTGCTCGGTCATGGAGACGCTTGTACAAGCAGAGCTGCTTTAAAGTCTCTGAGCCACAGGAGGCCAGAGCAGAGACCTGAGCACAGGACTTATGTGCTCGTACTTCCTAGTTGGAAGTCAGGACCCGAGCTGCAGCGTTCTGGATGTTCTGGATGTTCTGGATGTTCTGCACAGCTCGTTTGGAGAGAGACCAGTGAGCAGAACATTACAGTATCTAACCTACTGGAGACAAACGCATGGATAAGTTTCTCCAAGTCTGATTTAGACAGTAAACCTTTGATTTTTTATATGTTTTTTAGATGGTAAAAGGCTGCAGATGTTATTGATTTGATGTGGCTGTTAAAGTTCAAGTCTGAGTCCATTATTACCCCTTAGATTTCTTTGCCTGATTTGAAGGGTTTTAGAGAGAGAGAGACTGGAGGTGATGCTGACACTCTCTTTGTTTCTGTGGACCAAACACTATGACTTCAGTCTTGTCAGAGTTTAGCTGGAGAAAGTTGTTTCGCGTCCACACACTGATCTGTTGGAGTGAGTCCAGTGGTCCATAGTCTCCTGCTGCCAGAGAGACGTAGATCTGAGTGTCATCTGCATAATTGTGGTAGGACACATTATTGCTGCTTAATAAAAGATTTTAAATATCTATCCATTTTTGAGGGGACAACACAGTGATAAAGAAATAAAGAAAGACTCTGTGAGCTCAGAATCACGTTGGCTTTTGTGTAAAAAAAGAAAAAAAAAACCCGAGTGTGTTACAAAAAAAGAAGCCAAATCTTTCTGCTGCACTCCTGCGATTTTAAAACAGATTATAACAATAAAAATAAGACTCTTCTAGACTTTGACAAAGAGGCTGTTCACTCAACAAATCAAACAAAAACAAACACAGCAGGTCTTCAATAAAAAGATCCGAGAGACGAGCCAAAATGGAAGAACTAAAGGAAAGAGTCCAACGTTCTCGAAAAGGTCCAAGTCTCTGCTGGACACGTTTCACACAGACTCGGTGCTCACATCACATTTAAAGTTAGATGTCAAAAAACGTGGCCAGATATTTGTAAGAAGCAAGTATTTTAACGTTTTCATCGGGGATAATGTGCTCCAGAGACGAGCTTTTGTTACGTCTGAAATCAAAAAACGGCTCCTTGGTTTCAGCAGCGTTCAAATCCAAAAGGTCAAACTACAAATTCTGCTAACTGAAAAAGACTGACATTTTTAGATTTCAGTATAAGAAGTACAAGTAGAAGAAGTAGAAGTAGTAGTAGTAGATGCGTAGAAGTAGCAGAAGTACTACTAGTAGTAGTAGAAGTAATAGAAGAAGTTGTAGTAGAAGTAGTAGTAGTTGAAGTAGCTGAAGTAGTAGTAAAAGTAGTAGAAGTAGCAGTAGTAGTAGTAGTAGTAGTAGTAGTAGTAGTTGAAGTAGAAGTAGTAGTATTAGTAGTAGTAGTAGAAGTAGTAAAAGTAGTAGTAGTATGAGAAGTAGTAGAAGTAATAGAAGAAGTAGCTGAAGTAGTAGCTGAAGTAGCAGTTGAAGTAGTAGTAGTAGTTGAAGTAGTAGTAGTAGTTGAAGTAGTGGTAGTAGAAGTAGTGGTAGTAGAAGTAGTAGTAGTAGAAGTAGAAGTAGAAGTAGTAGTAGTAGTAGTAGTAGTAGTAGTAGTAGTAGTAGTAGTAGTAGTTGAAGTAGCAGTAGTAGTAATAGTAGTAGTAGTAGTAGTAGTAGTAGTAGTAGTAGAAATAGTAGAAGAAGTAGTAGTAGTAAAAGTAGTAGTGGTATGAGAAGTAGTAGAAGTAATAGAAGAAGTTGTAGTAGAAGTAGTAGAATTAGTTGAATTAGTTGAAGTAGCTGAAGTAGTTGAAGTAGTAGTAGTAGTAGTAGTAGTAGTAGTAGTAGTAGTAGTAGTAGTAGCAGTAGTAGCAGTAGCAGCAGCAGTAGCAGTAGCAGTAGTACTAGTACTAGTACTAGTACTAGTAGTAGTAGTAGTAGTAGTAGTAGATCTCTACAAACATGTCCTGAAATACATGGGATTCCTCTATTAGTTTAAAGCCACAGTGTGTAACTTTTAGCCCCCTCCAAAAAAAAAAAAAAAAGACGTTTTGTTGTTTGGTTTGTATTTTTGTTTGTTTGTTTTGTTTTCTATTTTTCATTTTGGTTGTTTATTGCACTCAAAAATTTATTATTTAGCCTAGAAAAATAGCCTACTTCTGCTGAATAATATTCCAAAGTCCAACATAAAACATCTTTATCTCCAACAATGTTCCGAAGTATGGCTTTAACTTTTTATTTCCATGGAATTAAGCAGGTCAGGTTTAAAACGTGAACTTGAACAAAACTCTTCATTAAAATCTAAACCTCAAATCTAAATAAGAACTGCATTGCTTCTCTGGAAAAAAAAAAAAAAACACAAAAAAAAACGCAATTAGATATTTTCCCAAAACTGTTCGGCCCTAATGAAGAAACATGAAGAAAAGCTGCGGCCTGGAGCGGGCAGGCACAGACCTGTCCTGTCCCCAGAGACTCGGCCCCCGGGGACATGTGGCAGGCAGAGAGGGGTCGGGTGCTGCTGCTGCTGCTGTGGGGGGGGCCGGCTGTGGTTAACGCTGCACTACTCTGAGGGACTCGTATTTCCTCCAGGACGGACCCGCACGCGAGAGTCAAGTTAACCCCAAACAGCTCTCCGCCCTCGGTGTCAAGTCCAAGTGCATCCCCCCGGTTCAGACGGTTGCCAGATCAGATGAGGTTCGTGGCTCTAAGTGGATTAAAGCCTTATGTTTTTCACAGCCATGTGGAGATAACAGATAATTATGATATGCAAATGAAGATAATGCTCCCTACAGCATGGTTTCATTCTGTTTCATTGGATTAAGCAGAATCATGTCCTGTAATGTCACAATAATAAAAAACTTTATACTTGATTTTGACAAGAAGAGGCTTGACACTCCCTATTGTTTTTTATTTTTGTTTGTTTGTTTTTTGTATTATTTCTATAGATTATTATTGTAATTTAATTAAAGTCAATTATTACTGTATTATTGTAATTTATATTATATTATTATAATTTAATATTGTCAAAAACGTGGCCAGATATTTGTAAGAAGATTGATACTTAATAATCCAATTCTGATGTTTTGGGGGTTTTTTTGATTGTTTTTTTTTTTTATTATTATTTCTATAAATTATTATTGTAATTTAACACAAATACTACATTAAAATGTCACAATTTGACAAATGTCTGTGCTTTTTTTCCTTCAAAATCAGTACTTTTTCAAATTAATTCAAGTGATTTTGTGTTGTATTTTTGTTTGAAAAGCGCTCTATAAATAAAGTTTGACTTGATTTGATAAGCTGCAATATTGGCTTTAGGCCCTGTTTACATGTACAAGGGTATTTTTAAAAACAGACACATTTACCTTAGTTTGTACTCATCTTTTACGCACAAACGGTGAATTCGCCTCTGAAAATGAATCTTTCTAAAAACTCCAGCTAGAGTGGAGATTCTGGAAAACTACAGATCTGTGTTTGTGTGTGAGATCAACGGATTCTTAGGAGCTGACGCGCTAAAAGTACGTCCAGTGTTTCCCTTTTGCTCTGATGATGATGATGAAGCATTCAGAGCAGCAGTCACGTTTCTTCTGGTGCAAACACTTTTCATGTGTTTGCATTTGCACACAGCTGATGTTTCATATCCATGACCAGAGACGAATGTGGCTCGGAGATCTGTGATTTTACCACTTCTTTAACAGATCTGTGGAGAGGCGAGCCCGCTCACTAATGCACATTTTTTAAGATATTTTTGAGTTATAATGACATAAAAGCTACAGGTTTGAATCTAATCCAGGTGCCCCCCAGAGGTTTAGTGTAGTTATGACGGCGCTCGAATGGAGGATTTATGTAAGTTGATGTAAACGAAAACTTTTTTCAAAACGATGCTGTGTGCACGATGTTATTTTGAAAAATGAAGGGAGGAAAATATTCGTTTCTCAACAAACCCGACTATGTGTAAACGTAGTCTTCGTGTATTTTGTGTACGAGTGTATTGGTGACAGTCTTTATGTTATGTCTTGGAAGAAGAGAAGATACAATCACCAGAAAGTCTGATTATAACAAGAGAAAATAAAACACATCTAAAATAAGACGCAGTTACACAGGGCCACACGATCACAGGTGTCACGTGACGGATCTCGTATGCAAAATTATTAAAAGGTTTAGGTCAGTTTGTAACTTTCTGGAGGTGGCACAACAACAGCACGATTCCATGGAAAAAGAGAGTTAAAACCACACTCCGGAACATTCCCCATGGAGATCGATACAAGAGTCAGATAAGTGGACATGCAAGAAGGACACACGTTTTCTGGTCCTTTTATTTTATTATTGGCCAAGTTTCAACATGGTAAATCTTCAAAACTGTTCAAAAAAGTGTGGCATGTACAAAATGGATTAGCAGTGAAAGTTTGTGGATTATAACTACATAATTATTCCTTTTTAAAATAACTTTGCATGTTCATATTTCAATCATCACAAGTTGTCTGAAAAGTCACATTTGACATGATATTCACTCAGTTTGGATTGTATTAGTAGTGGTCACTGTCAATGAAATACAACCTGATAAAACTGTACCTTTTGTAGTAGCCTTCAATCACTTCTGGAGCGTGGTGTCTGGAGATCGTCCTTTTGGTTCGTTTCTGATCAAATATGACACAAAAAAGAATCAGACATTGTAAAACGATGTGAATTTGATTTAACATAAAAGTGAGTGGTTCCCAAACTGAAGACTAAAAATATGAACTGCTAAACTAATACAAAACATATATGTGCTGTGGAGGTTTAAATCAATGTTTCATAAACTTTTTTTTTTCTGGGGACCCATATTTTAAAATTCACAAATCTTCACAACCCAAGTCAATAGACATTATTCATAAATCACTAAATAAAGTTGGATTTGACCATTACTGAACATTAATGAGGACATTTTATTGTTGACTGAGTGATCGTGTCTCTGAACAGTTAGTATTACTCAAGTTTTAAACAATGAAAAATGCTGAAGCAGCAATAAAAGGATCCATAAGTCGCCTGTTTGGACATTAAATTTAGTTCATTAATTTTTTTTTTTTTTCAACATTCAATTGAACCAGCAACATTGGAACAAAATTGTCAATAAAATAATTACAAAAAGATTATAAATTATACAAAACATGTCTTAACATTTCAACATGTGTCAGAATTGTGTATGTCAGACCTACAAGGCGACCTAAAAAAAACATTTTAAAAGTCTTTGTCACAACCCAGTCTTTGGGAAACAATGGTTTAAAGCAATAGTTTTTTATTGACTTATTTGTCCAGATATTGCCGGTTCAATTGAATGTTGAAAAGAAAATGAAATGGGCTACATTTAATGTCCAAATAGGCGACTTACGGATCTTTTTATTGCTGCTTTAATTACTACTGTTTTTCATTGTTTAAAACTTGAGTAACACTAATCACTCAGTCAACAATAAAATATCCTCATTAATGTTCAATAATGGTCAAATCCAACTTTATTTTGTGATTTATGAATAATGTCTATTGACTTGGGTCATGAAGGTTTGTGACTTTTCAAATATGGATCCCCAGAAAAAAGTTTGGGAAACACTGATTTAAAGGGCCCACAAACAGACGTAGAGTTGTGTTGTGTTTTGTTTCATTCACACATGTTTGACACACAAACCCTGCAGATTTAGTTCTTTTCTCAAACTGAAAACACTCTGTTCCACCTTGTGATGTCATGTGGTGATACAGGAGGTGCTCCACAGTGTTTTTAAACAACTTCACTAGAGTCATTTGAATGATTTCAGAACTGGAACTGACAATCTATACTAAACTAATGGTAAAAGGTAGATGTAAACTTGAAAACTACTACTGAGCATTTTAAAAGGGACTGTCCAGAATTTTGAACATTGGCTCACTAGGAAATGAGGCCCTATGTCCAAAATTTCGGACTGGCTGTATAAACTTTGGAGATGTAGAGAGACTACCGTATTTTTCAGACTATAAGTTGCACTTTTTTTCATGATTTGGGTGTTTCCTGCGACTTATAAATTAAAATTTTCACACTGACAGTCGCGAGAGGCTCTAGGCTCGTGTGTCAGTATCTAGTACTACTCTTACTCCTGTACCACTGTCACTTCGCTCTACTGTGCATGTCTCCTGTAAACAAAGCCTCTGTCCTGCTGCATGTAGTGAAATATTCGGCTGAAAACGGTAACTGAGCAGCAGAAAGAAAATTTGGAGTGAGCGAGAAACTTGTGAGAGACTGTGGGGATGGCGAACACAGCTTCACGGCAACCGGGCAGGTGCACCATGCAACTTTCCTGGAAGTCAGAGGATGAATCGACAAAGCCTGAACTTCAGTGACACCGAAACAATCCTGTCGGGATTCAGAAAGGCCAGAATAATTCTAACTGGAACTGATGCTGAGTCTGACAACGGGGCGCTACGTTTACCTCAGGGATCTATGGTTTATCTGCGGAGGTCGAGCAGAAGTGACACCGAGGATGGAGAATTCAGTGGATTTAGTGATTAGGAGTGAGATCGTGAGTTTGGTAAACTTATGAAATGTTGTTTATGCTATAATTATCTGAATAACTGTTAATGTTACGTTAACATATTAACGCCTGTTCAGCCTGTTGTTCTCTATTCTATTGTTATTGCTAGAATTTACCTTTCAAGATGAAATGTCAGTTCCTGGTCTCTGATTTTATAAAATAAATTTCCCTAAAAAGTGCGACTTATATATGTTTTTTTGTTCGTCATTGCGCATTTTTTAGCCAGTGTGACTTATACTCCGGAGCCACTTATAGTCCGGAAAATATGGTAATAATAAAGAGTTACTCAAACACGTGTGAATGAAACAAAACGCAACTCCAGGTGTGTTTCTGAGGAGGTAACAACATTTTTGCAGTTTCTTACCTCTTGCAGTTGAATGCCTCTTCAGCGTGATCAGACAAAGGCACAGTGTATTCAAATCACAAAATCGAAGTTCTGTGTTTACATACATTTCACGTATTAGTTTGTCAGTTCATATTTCAGTCTTTTTGTGAGTTCTCCATGTTTAAAATGTGAACTTTGAACAGAATCTACTATTAAAAATACATTTCAAATCTCAATAAAATCACTTTTTTCCCCCAAATTGTTCATCCGAAGCCAACACACAATTAATCTTTTTTTAAATTCCTTTACATACAAGGTCATTCGGCCTTCCCGTGAGCGTACACACCCCAGTTTGAGAACCACCACTTTATTATTATTATACATGTAGTGTATTTGAACCACCGGCGCGGCAGAGATCTCGGGTCAAACTCATTTAATTTCAATAACTTCTGCGGGAGGGTCAAAGTGTGTCGGGGCATCCATGTTCAACACCCCCCCTCGAAACCGTGTACCCATTTCCTTTTCCCGCGCGACCCCTCCTTCCCTCCGACATTTCCATTCATTCAATTACCATCCCCGCCGAAAGCTACCGGGAGCGAGGGAGGATAAGATTGCAGGATTTCTCGAAAAACACGACTTATTTAAAAACTACTAGGAGGAGGAGGAGAGAAGGGGGGGCGGTAAAAAATGTAATTCCGCGGAGAGGGGGGCGCGTGAGTGGCAGCTGTCGGCCCGATGATGTATGACTCCATTTGGCCTCGTGCTCCTTCTGCCAGTGGCTCGCTCGCCCATTCATCATCGTCCCCTGTCAGGCGGAGGAGAGGCAGTGACAGTACGAGTCAGCAAACATTTAGCACACGGCGGCGCGCTACACGGGGAAATTATTATTGTCAGAATAATAATGGTTTAGCATAATTTATTAGAGGTCCACCAAATAAGCAGGGCCGGGACGGTGGGAGACAGATGGGCGGGGAGGGCCTGGCACGAATCCACCCGCACGGGCAAAGAGGCTGCACTGTAAAACTGGAAAGGGGCAGGAGTTCAGCAGAAGTAAAATATTTTCCTTTGAGTTTACATAAATCCGAATTGAGGTTTACACGGAAAACACGTTAAATCGGCTTTATTAAATTCCGCTCGACGTTGACGTGGGGGCGGGGAAGGGTTCTGATTGGACAGAGACGCGAACGTGTTTACGTCGACCGGAAGAAAACGCACGCTTTTTTTTGTCGTCTCGGTTTGTCGTTACGCCACGGACGCAAACGCGACACAAACTTTTTCCGCGGCCGTTCCAATGATAATGAAGCCAGGCCACGTTTACATGATGCTTTTTAAAATTCTGAATTAAATCGTTCGGAATTAAAGTGTTTTCCTTCGAGACTGCATCGACGTAATAATTCCGAATTGAGGTTTACACGGAAAACACTTTAAATCCTCTTTATTTAATTCAACGTCTGGGGTGGGGAAGGGTTCTGATTGGACAGAGACACGAACGTATTTACGTCGACCGGAAGAAAACACACATTTCAGCTGCTACCAACTTTTTGTCATCTCGGTTTGTCATTACGCCACGGACACAAACATGATCCAAACTTTTTTCACAGTTGTTCCGATGATAACTGTGCAGCAGCTGGAGAATTCTCTCGTCACGCTTCACGTCTGTCGGCCGAGGAGGAGAAGGGAAGAGTGTCGGAGAAGGGAGGAAGAAGACAAACTGAGTCAACGGCTGCTCCACCTCAGCCCACTCCCGCATCCCGCTCACAAATCCAAAGAGACGTGGATGAAAGTCCGAAGCCAGGACTGGTGGAGCCGGATCGTCCGATTCGCGAGCATAAACGACCAGAGTTATTTTTAAGAAGAATAAATGTTTACATGATTGATTCATTTGGCTTTAAAATTGGAATAAACCATCTACTCACTTCGGAATTAAGTTTAATTCCCAATAATCAATCAATCAATCATTAGGAATTAAGTGTTAACATGTTTTTTAAATTCGGAGTTAAAGCTCTCATGTAAACGTGGCAAACGGTACAATATTTTCACGATATGCATGTCACTGAACGGTATTTATTACGATGTTTTGTGGAGGAATTCCCTACTTTTTCCAGTTATTTCTTCACGTAGGAACAAAGGATCATGGTCTATGTAGTTCCCTGTTTTTTTTTTAGCTATTGTCGCACTGAGTTGTACCACTTTCTAAGTCTGATGGGTCCGTTATCGCTCTTGGACTCAGTGTACATCCAGAGTTATTACTGTACCACTACTCAAAACCCAAACACTACTTAAATTCAAGGTGCACTATGCAACTTTTTTTACAAGTATCAGTGTGTTTAAACATCGCTGAATTTCTACAATGTTTTCATATATTTAAGGTTTCTTTGTGAAGTGTCATTTTGGGATTTCATGTATTTTTTTAGCTGTGGACCCCTGGAAGAATAAGACAGTGTCAAGGCAACAGCTGATGCAGATTCCAGCTACAAAAGTTTGGATTATTTGGATTCCCATCTGAAGGAGGGTTCTCATCTGCACGGTGATGTTCTTGTTTTCCTTAACAATCTCCAAGGAGACAAAAAGACGATGCCGCCCACCCAAGTCACAGGTCAGATCTGTGGAGAGGCGACCTTGTTCATAGTAAGAATGTTTGTTTTCCCAGTGCATTTTCAGCAGTAAAAACACCTGTAACTGAATAAATGATGGTTAAATTAGTTTTTATAACTGTGTAGAGCTGCTTGATTATGGAAAAAATCATTATCATCATTATTTTGGTCAATATTGAAATCACGATTATGCAAACGCTTATTTTTTACTTACACGATGCATTTATTTAGCAAAAAAAAAGTTTGATATTGATAATTTACGCAAAACTTTCAAACTGAAAATAAATACAGGCTACAAATATGAAACTTAGAGCAGTTTTTGCGATGTATAAAACATAAAATGAATAAAATAGACTTTGAACATGAAATAAGGCATACAAAAATGTAAACGTATCCAAAATAAACTAAATATCCAGCTGTACTACAAACTTTATATTTAAAAATAAAATAAATATACTTAATACTTAAATAAATAAATAAATAAATAATGATGTTGCACTGTTTGAAATGTTCCACAGTATTAAGGCTGTTTTTTTTTTCATTTCATTTAATTTATTTTCAATTAATTAATTTAAAATTAAATTAAATTTTAATTAATTTTTTATTTAATTAAATTTATTATTATTATTATTATTATTATTATTATTATTATTATTATTATTATTATTATTATTATTATTATTATTATTATTATTATTATTTGTATTATTATTATTAATAATTAATTTATTTATTTTATTGCATTGTACTGCATTTTTTCTAATACAGGTGTTTCTGTATATTATTTTTTTAAGTATATTAAAAAAACATGCATTCTTAGTGTGAGCGGGGTCACCTCTCCACAGATCTGACCTGTAACTCGGCCAAGCGCCAATTTTGGAGTCATTGGAGTAGATGTGATTTATTAACTCCATTTAACTCATCAATAATATCGCTTTTTTTTTTTTTTTTTTTTATAGTGCACAGCCGTTAGCGCGAGAACGTGGAGGGAGGGGTTTACGTACACGGAGGAGAGGTGGTGTGTGTGTGTTGTGTGTTTTTGAGTGTGTGTGTGTGTATCCTTCTCCTCGCAGCCAATCGCAGCGCTGGCAGTTCAATTACAAAGAAATAAAGGGACATTCATCATTCAATTAGGCAGCTGTCAGGGCCGCACAAAAGGAAAGCAAAGTTCCAAACCTGGTACTGAAGGGAGAAGATGCTCAGGAGAGTGGACTGAGAGTGACTGGAACAAATAAAAGGAGGACAAAGTTAATTACCAAAAGAGCGGCGTACGCGCAGACAATGGGGAGGAGAAAGAGGGAGGAGAGAGCGGCGGCGGGAGAGAGGGAGGGAGGGCTTCAAAGCGAGCGAGCCAGATGCCCTGTAATCGAAAAAGAACACGGCGAACAAGTGTGGCAAAGTTGTTCCAGATGAACGGCTCCGACAAAGGCTACGGCGGCCTGGGTGGGAGTGGAGAGAAGAAAAGGGAGGAGAAGAGGGGAGACGAGAGAGGGATGGTGATGGATGAGAAATGAGGAAAATGCAAGCCGATGTCTGGTGCGTGTTTGCGTTCACCTGTAAAGCCCCCTGTCTGTTTAAAGGGAGATAGAGTGTCAGAGTTAGTCGTATTAAACAAGCGGAGCGAGGAAAAAGAAGCGGGAGTGACATGCATAATGTGGAATATAATTAAAATAATGGCGTTTATTGGAAATTAGTAACAACATTACAGTTTCTACAAGAGATTATAGTTCACCAGAATGCATAAAAGTTAAAAATTTGGGAGAAATAGAAGTTATTGACAGAAATTAAATATATGTTTTTGTATCCCAATATCAATATTCAGAATAATATCCAATCCAACTAAGGTCGGGAATCTTTAAGAAGTTGCCGACACGATACATATCTCGATACAGTGAGCTTTCGATTTGATACGATATATTTTAAATGTCAGGGCTTTTCCATTTGCGAAAGGGAAATCAATCGCGAAGAGTTGGCGAGATTCGATGCGATTTAATAAAAAATAAAGGCTAAATCATGGCTGTGATACTAAAGTCTTTGTTAAACCACTTCTTTTGCAAAGTTCATATGAAACACGCCCATTGTATCTGGGCTCTACATATGTTGACATATATGTACAACACATTTTGGGTTGTTCAGGGACTTAATAAATAGTTTTTCCAAATCATTATCCAATTGTAACTTTATTGTGTTCCATCAAAGTGATTAAAACGTAAAATGTATGTTTTATATATCATATGTGGACTAGGGATGGGCATTCGATTAAATTTTCTTAATCGATCGTCGGAAGAATTAACGATCGATTATCGATTAATCATTAACGTGTTTATATTAAAATGATCATCATTATTATTACTATCTGCACTACTAACCTGCATAAATAAATTCAACTTTACGACATATAAACCGTAACGACTCTAGAGCCACATCAATCCGTTTGACATTATAAATGTGTTTAACGCAGTTTTGCGCAACTCTCATAAAAACAAAACTTAAAACCGCATCGCTAATTTGCAGAAACTAAGCGAAGATAAAACTACAGCTCTTGTGTCGCTGATGTGGTTAAATTTCTGTTGGATTAAAAGACATGACTCAGGTGAATACAGGTTAGTGTGACCATACTTGGCGTTTGTCAAAACCAGGACACCGTACGGGGCGAGGGAGGTGGGGACTCGTCATCCACATTGCGCGACTCTCACCTGGTAAAACCTTTTCCCACTGGACACAGAAACATATGTGCTGCTTTATACACTTGTGCACATGGACTCACACTTGTCCCGAACGCAACGGAAAGCGTGGAATTTCTTGTACAAGTCATCGTTAAATACGCATTTGCGTTGCAGACTGACCGACTGTTTGTGTCTCGCTCCTTCTGAGTGCAAAGAGCTACATGTACGGACCCCTGTTTGGTCAGGCTACGCACAGCAACCTACATTCGGTTTGTCGATTAAAATGAACGTAATCGATGAAATTCTTAATGATCAATTATCGATTAATCGATTAATCATGCCCATCCCTAATGTGGACATAATTTTAATCAGAAACTACATCATGTAAAAATATAATTGTTTGTTTTTGCACTCATCAGATCCCAATCAGGCCAAATAACAAAGAGAAATCAATAAAGCCGTGTAAGAGTTCGGGTCCTAGAAGATTAATCATCAAAACAATGAAAATGTCAAATGTGTCGCATAAATGAGTTTCCTTTCTCTAAACAAACAACAAAACTGTAGCGCTGTAACAAAATTTTAACAAAACATAATACCAAAAAAAAAAAACAAACCCCAAAGCAGCCCCCAATACGGAACTGTGCTGATACTGTATCGTCACATTAAAAGATACGATATAATAATATTTCTTATTTTTGCACATCCCTAATCACATCTGAACCTGTGTTGTCAGAGCCTTAACCTGCAGATCGAGACACGCCCAGGTTTGTCTCATTCTCAGTTTATCGACAGATCAGAACCTCCAGAATTCCCTCCCTGAGCTGCAGAGGCTGCACTGTTGACTGCTGACTGCCTCATGACTGGTCTAAATGGTCACTGCTAAACCCAAGCACCTGCAGCCAGAGAGGCATTTTACATTTTAACCAACCGGATTTCAACTTTGGATCTTCGGTAGACTCATGTGAGGCTCATTCTGCTTTCTTACTGGAGAATCATCTTGAGAAAACACCAAATTATAACATAAATAAATGTTCAGTGTCCATTAAGGTTAGGGTTAAAGTGAGATTCACTCATAGAATCAGAATTGTTAGTAGTAAAACCTTTATTGGATTTGAACATGTTTATCTGGGGAGACACAGGTCAAGTTTATGAATTTAAATAAAATTCTTACTGTTGGATTTAGGGGTGTAATGATATATTGTATTGTTTAATGTGCTGATACAGTATCGATATCGGGGGCTGCTTTATCGATATATCACCAAGAGTATTTTTTTGGTATATTTGACTCAGTTATTTTGTTATAGTGCTTCAGTTTTGTTCCTTGTTTAGAGAAATGAAACTCGTTGATGCGACACATTTGACATTTTCACAGTTTTGATGATTAAAATATTTGTGTTTAATACAAACTTTGCACAAGAAGTGGTTTAACAAAGACTTTTAGTATCACAGCCATGATTCAGCCTTTACTTTTTCTTGAACCGTATCGAATCAATTTGAAATATATCGTATCGAATTGAAAGTGCACTGTATCGAGGTATGTATCGTTAGTGTTGGGGAGTAACAGATTACATGTACCGGAGTTACGTAATCAGAGAACAAATTATGAGTAACTGTATTCAGTTACAGTTACTGTTTCAGTGAGTGGGAATTGGATTACAGTTACTTTGTTGAAATAAATGGATTACATGGCGGTATTTTCCTGTTTTCCTGTTTTCACATTTTGGGCTATATCCCCTTTTTTCTTTTCTTTTTTTTTTTTTTCAATAATTCCACTCATTGCCGGAAACTAAACCAGGTCTAAACTAGATCTAAACTAGATCTAAACCAGGTCTAAACCAGGTCTAAACCAGGACTAAACCCAGGTCTAAACCAGGACTAAAACCAGGTCTAAACTAGATCTAAAACCAGGTCTAAACCAGGACTAAACCAGCACTAAACTAGGACTAAACCAGGATTAAACCAGGACTAAAACAGGACTAAACCAGGTCTAAACCAGGACTAAAACAGGATTTAACAGGACTAAATCAGGATGTGTCTCCTCCTCTATCAATAATAGACTTTACAGTTAAGTAAAGTTTGGGCTTTTTATTTTCTTTTAGCAGATAAAACATCTTAGGTTACGATTTCCTCGTCTTTGCTTCTCTACAGCAAATCAAGTAATCCAGAGTATTCAGATTACGTTACTCACCTTAAGTAATTTAATGGATTACATTACAAACTATATTTTGGTGTGTGTAATCTGTAATCTGTAGGGGAATACATTTTAAAAGTCACCTTCCCAACACTGTGTATCGTATCGGCAACTTCTTAATGATGTGATTGTAAAACATTTTTAAAACAGTAAGAGTGCAGGCTACATACGGTTTCTTTAATGAGCTTTTTTTTGCAGTATTTGTTTTAAAATGATAAGCTATGTATGTGTTTTCATTTTTCATATCTTGAACACTCACAATAATATCGATAGTTGAAATTAGGTTGCACAAAAGTTTCACCAGACGATTTTAATGATTGACAAAGCACATTATCCTAAGTCATTTAAATAAGTGCAGGCCTATGGAAAGCTGTGATGTCATCTGAAACCCAAGAACTTCTCCGAAAAACAACAACTGATACTTCCCGATCACTGTTACGAAAAATAGCACGGGCGTCGACGCGTTGCCGAGGTGCAGCGGCGCACGTCCGACATCGCGTTTCCTCTGCCGTGGCTGTCAGAGCGGGCGTGTGGACCTATACTCCAGAGCCCTCCCGCCGCACCTGACGGACGGCGCTTTGAAAATGGGGAAAACTTCACCCGGCGACTCCCCCCCCGGCTACCAACCGCGGCGCTCAATTCCGCGGCCTGTCCAGAGACGCGTTCGTCCGCCGGGGCAGTCAATGTCAAACACCTGGCGGAGAGGAGAAGAAGAAGAAGAAGAAGAAGAGGAGGGAGAGGAGAGAGACGAGAGGCCCCCGAGGTACGATCCGAACCGGGAGAGATTTTAAAGCGGTGACAGATACGGCGCTAATTGGGCGTTACTGTACATCGGTCTGCAAATAATATAAACAATATGCCAGTAACAGTGAAGGCTCGATCACGTACGATGGCGTTTTCTCTACTATTACAGTCCACAGCTCATGCAATTTCATTCAAATGTTTTGTTTTTTTACTTGTTTTTTACTACTAGGCTGTAAAGAGACTGCACTATATTTAGAAAATTCATTTCGTCTTCACCAAAAATGAAGGTTTGAGGTTCAAGAAAAATGCATCGCCTATTGAGTTGTAAAATAAATGACAAACAACTGAGACCATAAAATATAATCTATTCATTTTGCATAACATTTAATAACTAAAACATTCTGTCATGGTTAGGGGTGTAACGATAACTGAAATATCGTGATATCATATTGTCAAAGTTCTCACAATAACATCGTGGACCATCACAATATATCGAAATTACAAGTCTCTTTGCTTAAATTATGGTGTTATGGTGCAGCAATAGACAAAAAAAGACAGAGGGAACTACAAAGACCATGATCCTTTGCTCCATTTCAGTGCAGACTACAAGAAGAAATAACA